ATGTAGGCACCGTCAGCGCGGGGCGCGAGGCGTAAGTCTATAGGCGCGGTAAGCGCGGAGCGCGAGGCGCAATCTTGTAGGCGCCGTCAGCGCGGGGCGCGAGGCGCAAGTCTGTAGGCGCGGTAAGCGCGGAGCGCGGGCTCGAGTTTGTAGGCGCGGTAAGCGCGGAGCGCGAGGCGCAATCTTGTAGGCGCCGTCAGCGCGGGGCGCGAGGCGCAAGCCTGTAGGCGCGGTAAGCGCGGAGCGCGGGGCGCAATCTTGTAGGCGCCGTCAGCGCGGGGCGCGAGGCGCAAGGTTGAACACGCGTGAGACTCGGAGCATCAGGCACGAGGCACGGCGCGAGCACGTGTAGGCACGAATAGTGCGTAGCACGCTTACGTACACGCACTAAGAGATACACTGCACTAAGATATTGCATTCGATGCACCACCGTCGCGCAATTACCCCCCAGAGTTAGAGCTCCGAGAACCTTCCCTTCGTTCTCTTGATCCGGCTCGAAGGACCAATTTTATGTTCCGTCCGTGTCGATCCGGTCGATCCGACAACGGACCCCACTTGCACGAGATTATAATTAGGCCGGTTGATGAGGGGAAGAGGAAGAAGGCTCTAAGATTCACTGGTCACGCGTTCACGGTTCAACGCGCATTTATTTCGGTCTCGATTACAATGTCACGGTATCGAACAACGAGAGACGCAGGCTGAGACGATACGGTGTCGTTGGCATAGCACGACGTACTACTCGCCGAAAAGCTCGGCTCATTAGCCCGCCCGTGCCCCCTTCCCTCGCCCCGTGCTCCCAGGCTGCTCAATCCACCCGGCAACAGGGGCGATCGGGAAGACGACCGGGCACGTGCAGACCACGAACAGTATTCATGTGGCCACACAGGGCAACTCGCGAACATCTATTGATTATTATATTTTTATTGTACTCAGATAACATGCTTGTCTAAAAGACATCTTGAATATTATAGTTCTGTTGTGCTACTATTAATACTTTGAGATATTGTATTTGTATAATAACGTTTATTTAAAATTTGTTACAACATATGTTCAAAATGCCCTCCGCCCAATTCTAGACAAAGACGTGCTCGTCGAATTAAATTGGTCCCGGTATTTTGAATCATTTCAGGAGTAATGGAAGCAACTGCTTCTACAATCCGCCCTTCTAATTCCTCCCGATCATTTATCGGATTGCAATAAATATATTCTTTTATGTTATGATATTGAAGAAAATATTTTTACCATATAAATTGTCTGTGAC